TTTAATATTTATACAGTTGTTGATTCACAATCATGGGATGGCGTAGTCGGGTGCAGAGTTTCTTCCAGGCATCTCTTCGGACCCCCCCCCCCCCCTCCGAAGAAATTCTACCGTCTGTCGTCCCCCCCCCCCCCCCCCCCCCCCTTCCCCCCCCCCCCCCCTTTCGAACGAAATGGAATTTACATAGAAAATTATACTTTTAAGTGTCTTCTCCCCCCCCCCATTTAAATTATAGTCCGCCCCCCTACCCCTTCTCCAGAAAATTTCAAGTTCCCGCCCGGAGAAAAATGTCTTGAAGAACCACTGGTCAGGTGGTAGAGCGCCCGAGTGCTAGGCGAAGATCTCGAGTTCGGTTCTCGTTGACTCTGAGTCCACCCAGCTTTGATGGGTACCTGACTCAGGTAAGGGAAGTAAAGGTGGCTGTGCATTGTACTGACGACACCATCCCCTCGTATGCCGTAGTAGAAAAACAGATGAATTCTATTTCTTGTGCCCTATAGATCGTTATATCCGAATGGGGAACTTTACTCTCTCACACTTTTGTCTAAAGAAAACTTGTATAATAATAAAGAAACGGATTAAGTTAGTAATCTCAGGTGTATATGTCATGTGAGCCCACTAGCACCGTCTGTTACAGCCCCCCCCCCCCCCCGAACAAAATGGAATTTAGATAGAAAATATATACTTTTGACGGTGTGCAACCCCCCCCCCCCGTTCCCCGTCCCCGTCGCCACCCCCCCCCCCCCCCCCACCCCGAAAATTTCAAGTGCACCCCCGGAGAAAAAAGTCTGGAAGAAACACTGCATACACCTCAACGCAGCTACTAGTTTCAGTGATACTGAATACAGAAAGCAACGCAAGTATATTTTAGTATACATGTAATCAAACTCCAGTTCTAATGTGCCCTATGGGTCGTTAGGTCTGAAAGGCGAGCTGATCTTGCACTTAAATGTAAACTCAGGTTTACAAAACGTAGTGTATACACCTGTACACGACGATACGTCATGTTTGCAAACAGCTGAGTCACCCTGCTAATTCCAAGGTGGGAAACAACGAGATTCACACGTGTAATTAAAGCCCCTGCATCGTCTCTACAAACCCACCCCACCCCAATTGTATTCTAGTCTTGCTGACTATCCTGTTTTGTTCTCCTCTCCACCGCTCTGTATATTGCCCCTCGCCCACCCTATATATACCCCTCCACTACCGCCTTGTATATTGCCCACCCCCCCACCACCCTGTAAATAGCCCCTCCACCACGGACTTCTATAATATCCATCCCCATCGACCTATATATTGCCCCTCCCCCACCGACCTATATATTACCCCTCCCCCCACCACCGTATATATCGCCTCTCCCCCACCACCCTGTATATTGCTCCTCCACCACAGACTTGTATATTGCCCCCCCCCCCCACCGACCTATCTTCTACCATCCCCACCGACCTATATACTACCCCCCCCCCCCCATCCTATATAATGACAATAAGAACAATCCACCAGAGACAATTCAAACTTTTCTCATTCACACTTTGCCCACGCACACACTAACACACACACAACAGTCCCACAACACACACCAATCAAACAACCAGTATCTCACCCATATAGGACAGTCGTGGCAATGACCACTGTGGACGAATCTAGAAAACAACCGTGGCGTCTTATCTCTACACTCGACCATCGCGCCCGATTTGTCACGCACCAACTTGTAGATGGTGGGCTTCAGTGTTTCTTTCAGTTTCAGACAATTTTCCTCTGGAGGGTGGGTGGAGTAACACTTGAAAATGTAGGGGGAGGGGCGGACTAAATTTTCCGCGGAAAGGGGAGGCGCGAACACTGGTAAAACTATATATTTTCTATATAAATTATATTTTGTTTGGGGGAGGAGGGGGGGGGGTGCGATAGACGTGCCCCCCCCCCCCCCTCGTAGAGATGCCTGAAAGAAACAATGGCTGGCTTGTTAGCCTACACAGCGAGATGACTATTGTATTACCGCGACAAAACAAACCTGCTTGCTTATTTACTAAACCTACAGACGATATCAGTTACTTGGTCGATGCTGAGCTGTTGTTTTATAAGACGCTGTGTTTAGCTCTTTGTTAACTGTTGTATTGTTTTGTAGACGTCTTGTTAAGCTCTGTATTAACTGGTGTTGTTTTGTTTTTGTATCACTTTGTATATAGCTTGATCGTTTTCCACCATCTAATTAGAACAACGTGATAATATACATGATAATTAGAACAGTGTGCTAATAAATCTTGATCTTCACTATGAACTAATTAGAACAGTGTGCTAATATAGCACGATCTTCACTATTAATTAATTAGAACAGTTTGCTAATATACTTGATTTTCACTGTTAATTAATTAGAACAGTGCGCTAATATAGCATGATCTTCACTATCAACTAATTAGAACAGTGTGCTGATGCAGCTTGATCATTTCCACGCCCCCTCATTGCCCACCTGCTCTACAAAAATCACCATCTGATTATTTACACTGTTCTCCAGAACAAAAAAACAACCAGCGCTGGGTTAAGTCACCTAGACATTGTAAAGTTACAGTGACCTCCCCTCAATTCCTATATTCAACGTTTGGGAACGATCGCTCATTAAGATGTTTTTATTAGAAGTTACTGCTTTTTCAATTTTGAGTTTGATTGAACGGTAGTAATTCGTTTTGTAAATTAAAATTCTCATAAAAGTAGAAAATGTCATAATAAATTCATCCGTAAATACATTCGTAATTTGAAATTAACAGTTATTTTCAAACATCGCGGTTTTCAAGATTAAAAAACGGTTTCTAGACAAACACCTTAGCGTCTACCTTAACCTGGCAACAACCGCGCGCATGCAAGGATCTACCTGGTGCGGTCCCACGGAAACTGGGTCAGTAGGGTGAAAGCCCACCCTGAACTCACAAACCATTGACCCAGGGGGAGGGGATGACCGTAGGCAACACTGGACGATAAAAACAAAAAACTGACCATACCAAACTTTGAAGGGGAGGGGGGGGGTATAGTTGGTAGGACTATGAAATTATTTCAATTAAAGAAATGTGTCGAGGGGGGGGGGGGGGGGGTAGAGAATTGACCCAGACGGAAATAAAGTAAACAACTATCACCATGCAAAATAGAATCTTGGCAGAGAACGAATTATTTGGGGAATATTATTCGTGGAATTGACTCGCTATTTCAATTAAAGAAAGAGAGAAAAAAAATAACCTTGATAAAAATTTAACAACGAATTGTTGGGAAATTTTATTGGTAGGATTAACAAGTTATTTCAGTTAAAGAAACCAGTTTGGAGGGGGGCGGGAATTGATCCAGGTGAAAGAAAACAACTATCAGTATCACCATACAAATGCTAAAATGTGGTCGGGCAAGAATTGTGGAAAGTATTATTCGTGAATTTAGAAAGGTATTTCTTCGGAGTCAAACACTCATTGTTAATGACTTAACTCGAATACTTGATCAATGCACTCAAGCTAAGTTCAAATGATATTCCTGTAAAATAAGCCTCATTTATTCCACTAGAATGTTCGATGCCGTGAAAGCATGTCGTCACCTACACCTTCATTTATACCTTTCTCCCCTACCTGGTTTACTTTTCACTCACACAATCCACGGGCCTCAGGTTACCTGAAGACTCAATAAATCGTGCGCCGATTCTCTCAAGTTAGACATGGAGGAATGCTATAACCACGAACAAGTTATAGCAGCGAAAAGTTAGCGCAGTGAAATACCTATAGACCCTGGAACATTCCACGGCAAGCAGTTTAATCACCCCTCCCCACCCCGTCTGTGTTACACGTCTTAAAGTAGTGAAAACCAAACCGGCAATGGGTAGACATAATGGCCAGGGCTTTTTATTGACACGTAGAATTACAAGCAATTTTCAGATTTATCCTTTGTGGAGTCTGTCTTTAAGGTAGACAGAAAAAAGCCCCTTGCGTTTAAAAGACTCTAGTTAGAATGTAATACTACAGCCATTTGCGAGCTTTAGAACTGCAATTCTATACCAAAATTACAACTAGTTTGATAAATTTGTTGCAAAAATTTGAAATTTTTATTGAGAGTAATTGAAAAATAAAAGATTTTTAACGAATTATGTTGAAGTAAAACTTAAACGGCAAACAGAAATAGCCCTTTATTGGAAAGACTCTCGTTATAATGTAATACAGTCACAAGCGAACAGTGGGCTTAAGAAATGTAAACATTATTCTAGACAAAAGCATTTCTTTTGTAAGGAAAATTATTGCAAAATAAAAATAAATATTTAACGTAGCATAGTGAGGTTGAGTAAAACTTGGAGATTTATTGTTGGATTTCTGTACCGTGTGGAAATATTTAAAAAAAAAACGGGAAAATCCTTTCTAAAAACGTTCACCTTACTACTGCGAACTATTTTTTTTTACAAAACAAACAATATATAATTAACTTATTGTTAACTTTGACTAATGGAGCCGGGGTTTGGACAAGGAGCAGGTGTGATGGTACATAATAACGGGAGCCGGGATTTGGACAAGGAGCAGGTGTGATGGTACATAATAACGGGAGCCGGGGTTTGGACAAGGAGCAGGTGTGATGGTACATACTAACGGGAGCCGGGGCGAGACGTACCGCTGAAGCTGTCAATACAGTCTCACCGAACACATGACAGCCACCTTCTAGGGGGCACGCAGCGGTTTTTTTTCCAGCCCAGATAAAAGGCATACCTCAGCAGGTTGCTGAAAAACGGTTTCCGACACCTGATATCACTCACGAAGTCTGCTGCCCCGGGTCGGTGGTTGGAACCCAATATATCATGGGATATCTGAGCCCCAGTTCCCAGACTGGGATGCTTTCAGCGGCCACTTCGAGTTACTGTAGTCAAAGGTTATTTTGGTGTGGTTTTCGTTTTGGGGCGCAGTGGAAATGGAGTCATTTAAAAAAAAAAACGGGCGTAGTTTTTTTTTTTTAAATATTTTTTTTTACTTGAGAAGGTAACATTTGGCTAAATGTCAGTCGTCAGATGTCATGAGATGAAGTTGTTGGAGGTCGCGCCGGACATGTTGAACAGCTTTGAGTCACGTACATCATCTCTATAACGACGCTGTCATCAGTTTGTTGAAATGCGCGTGTTGTTATCCGGACAGTTGAAAGTTGTTGTTTTTTTTTGTCCAGATGTGCACACAATCGGTTTAATAAAAATCTTCTGTTGTTGATTTAATTCATATACAAGTCATTAAAATTATGTGTAAAATATATGTAGTAGACGCGTTGAAGATTATTTATCAGTACCGCTAGTATTTAATCCTGCTATCTCCTCTTTTATTATTGAAAGAAGTAATCTTTTAATTAAATTTTAATGGTTAATCAATTTTTTAAATAGATATTCCTGCATTGTCATCAGGTACGAACATACCTTGAAAGTTTGAATGAAATCGCTACTTTCGAAGGGGGTCGAAATCGATTTACAAGATTTGCTTCATCTCACAAACAGACGTTGTAAAGAAAATAAAAGCTTATAAAAACCTTACATTTGGATAGTCAACTTGTTGTACGCGTCGTTTTTAGCACCCCCACCCTCTTCTCCAAATATAGCTTTGCAAATATGATACTAGCTTTATTAGTTACACACATACACATGGGACGCGTGGTCGGTGGGTTGAACGCACGACTAGAAACCAGAAAGTCTCGAGTTCAAATCCCGAACTCAAGTCGCGCGTCCCAGTTCGTAAATCATCCCGTTACAACTAGCACAATATTTCTCTTAAGTGACGTTTGTTTCCTTTTTTATACATCGTACATTGCTTTAAGAGTAAGCTCTCTAACATCTGCATGTTATTTTTTTTTCTTACCGTGGACAGGCCCAGCTAGGAATCATGGAGTTCCAAATCCACTAGCATCAACCTTGAAGACATCGGTGCTCTCTGAGACACCCAACGTGTTCCGTGACGCCAGCGGGTACCTCGTGTATGATGACAGGAAGGGCACGGCCTATCCGTCATACGCGGAGCGTCATCTAGCAAAGGACTGGATTATTCCTTCATCCAGCAACACGGATGATGGATCCGTCAAAACGGATTATGTTCGAAGCAGCGAGAAAAGTCCCGATGACTTAAAACTTAGGCAAAGTCCTAACGAAAGTGACAGCAATGTGAACCATTTCCAAAGCTGGGAGGGTTTTTCCTCCAGCGAAGACTTTGAAAACAGGCCACTAATGCTGACAGTGAACGCCCCGGGGGTGTTTGAAAGAGCCGTGACTCTGGTTCTGTCGCACGTCTCGGAGTTTCTCTCCCCCGGGTTCGTCATCCAGAGGGTGCAGGGCAACGTGTCGTGGCTGGAGGAGGTGCAGGAGCCAGGAGTGGATTGTTATTATTCTGGGATCGTCTTGGAGCACCCAGATGAGTCCAACGTGGCGATAAGCATCTGTGATGGCGTGGTGAGTACCACACTGTTGTTTCATTCAATTCACGAACCTCATTACAATTAGTATTTAACTTACGAACCTCATTACAATTAGTATCCAAAACACGATTCTCATTTCAATTAGTGTTTAATTCATGAACCTCATTTCAATTAGTATTCAATGTACGAACCTCATTACAATAAGTATTCAATTCACGAACCTCATTACAATTAGTATTCAACTTACGAACCTCATTACAATTAGTATCCAAAACACGATTCTCATTTCAATTAGTGTTTAATTCATGAACCTCATTTCAATTAGTATTCAATGTACGAACCTCATTACAATAAGTATTCAATTCACGAACCTCATTACAATTAGTATTCAACTTACGAACCTCATTACAATTAGTATTCAACTTACGAACCTCATTACAATTAGTATTCAACTTACGAAGCTCATTTCACTTAGTATTATAAAGAACCCCATACTCATACAACTTCATTCAATTCACGAACCTCGTTTCAATTTGTATCATGAAGTAACTACACGCATACATTTTCATTCAACTTACGAACCTCATTTCAGTTGGTGCTAAATACCTATAAGCGTACGTTTTCATTCAACGTGCGAACCTCATTTCAATTAGTATCATCAAGTACCCCACATCCATGTAATTTCATTCAACTTACGAACCTCATTTGAATGGTACCAAGTACCTACACGCATACATTTTCATTCAACTTACGAACCTAATTTAAATCTTTATCGTGAAGTACTCACACGCATATATTTACATTCAACTTAAATATCCACGATCAAATGTTAGTAAACATTCAAAAATGATAGATTTGGTACAAGCAACATCATACGAAGACAAGGTAGGTCACACGTCGATACATAGGCAGATGATCATCAAACATACTGCTGGAGGTCGCAGCCTTAAAGGCATATATTATCACGTAGAAAATATAGCCCTGGTTCTTTCTAGAGTCATTGCGTCTGATTATCAATGACTTGATGGCTTACAATGTTAGTTATGGTATCAATGACTTGGTGGTTTACATTGTTGGTTAGGGTATCAATGACTTCATAGTTTACAATGTTGGTTATGGTATCAATGACTTGATGGTTTACAATGTTGGTTATGGTATCAATGACTTGATGGTTTACAATGTTGGTTATGGTATCAATGACTTGATGGTTTACATTGTTGGTTAGGGTATCAATGACTTCATAGTTTACAATGTTGGTTATGGTATCAATGACTTGATGGTTTACAATGTTGGTTATGGTATCAATGACTTGATGGTTTACAATGTTGGTTATGGTATCAATGACTTGATGGTTTACATTGTTGGTTATGGTATCAATGACTTGATGGTTTACAATGTTGGTTATGGTATCAATGACTCGATGGTTTACAATGTTGGTTATGGTATCAATGACTTGATGGTGTACAATGTTGGTTATGGTATCAATGACTCGATGGTTTACAATGTTGGTTAGGGTTTAGGGAAAATTTTCTCTGGTTGACACTGTCTAACCCTACCAGACAAACATTTCGGGCTTTTTATTTCATCGAGAACGTGTACACAAAAAGGTCATCGTGGTCCCGAGTTTGGTAACGATAGCTTTACATGTCCATGCCAAAATGCTGAAGACTAATTAAGAAGAATAAACATGATCCAGTACTACTACTACATTTGTAGCGGTAGTTTTGCACTATAAACTAGTAATACAGCATTGCCTGTATGTTGTGTCAGTCTTGTTACCCTGCCTAGACTATTAACCCTGTCTTTATCCTCAACAACCACCTGCAGAACCACTTTCGATTACCACAAGCCGCCACCCCCCCCCACCCAGTCTCAACCCAACAGAATGCACGCCATCTTCCTTCAATCCCTCATCCAATTACCAAAATGGCAGGAAACATGGGATCACAACAACAGAGGAGGGGGGGTGCCTCGCAATACCTGCGCCCTGCTGCACCCCCAAGACGGCTGGGCCACCAGGTAGATAACACGACACCCGAGCCCCCCGGAGAAGTGGGGGGGGGGGGCTAACACTTTGTAAAGGTTCAGGGGTGGGCCTTGTTCTAAATAAAAGGCGCGCCAGAGACACTCTACACCCCTGATTCTACCATACAAACCTTTTTTTTTTTAAAAAATGGCCTGTGTTGTTAGCATTGAAGAAGAGAGCAGAACAGTTTAGAAATAAAATCAGCCATGCTGTTACATACAGTTGTAAACTTCAAAGTATTCTGTTACTGCCATTGTTCGAACTGTATTATCATCTAGCTGTACAACTTCAGCATGAATATCAAGTTATATTTGCGAGTTAAAACTAATATCGTTATTTGAATCGTAGAATATAAATAAATAAACACATACGGACAAGATTGCAAAAATAAGTTTTTCCTACTCACGAAGGTGTAAAACGTCGAGATTTGTAAAAATCTCGATTTTTTTTTTGCACGATTACAACTTTCTCTATACTTCGTAGGCTATGTACGAGAAAGTAAAAATGTATTGTAGATTTCTTTTTACTTAATCTTAATACATTCACAGGGTTTTTAATTGTTAAAAATGGCAAATGATGTTTTAAAATGAGAAAGGCTGTATAAACTGTTACAATTACTTAATATCCTAATTCTTAAGAACTATAGAGAACCTCCGTTTGCGCACCGGTCATTCATGGCTAGCAATCTTACCCCCCCCCCCCCCCCCCCTCGAAGAGATACCTGGAAGAAACTCTAAATCTTACCTTTATCTCGTTAACGTGCATATACAACTACGATACCAATACTTCTAATAAGTATCTTGTTTCTTTATTATATAGCCCTTGATCACACTGTAAACTACAAAAAAATGTTCCGATGCATAACTATTGGTACGTGATTCGGACTTTATAACTATTGGTATTTGATTCAGAGTTTACAATTATTTTTGTGTAATCCGGACTTCATAAATATTGGTATATGCAGAGGCATAGCGATGGGGGGCAGGGGGGGGGACACATGTCCCCGGGCGCCGACCTTAGTGGGCGCCAAAATGGGTTGTAAAAACAAATAAAAATGTCACTTTAGCTGCATTTTTGCAGTTTGCGGGTGGGGGGGGGGTGCAAATCGAAAGTTTGAGGTGGGGGGGGGGGGTGCAAATCGAAAAGTTGAGGGGGGTGTAAAATCGAAAATTTGTTCCCGAGGGGGCGCCAAATTGAAATTTTCTCCCCGGGCACCGGGAAGGGTCGCTACGCCTCTGGGTATATGATCTCGATTTTAAAACTATATATGATCCGAACTTCATAAATATTGTTATATGATCTCGATTTTAAAACTATTGGTATATGTTCCGGACTTTATAGCAATTAGTGTGTGATCCTGAGTTTCCAAGAGCCAGACCACCCCATTGTCAGTTTACGAATCAGAAATTACCACCATGCTTCCAAGATTTGCTGTAAATTTTGAGTGTTTACTTGTGTTTGCTCTAAACCAATAAATCATTTTTTTATGTAACCGCCAAAAGAATATTAAACTACTGCGTCACTCGTCGTCTGGTAAAATAAAAATGTGAGCATTAATCAGCCCGATAGCCTTTTAATGTATATTATTACAGGGGGATCACACGGTGCCAATGCTGAAGTAATTTCCCGGCTAAGAGCCGAGTGGTATGCTAACTCTCTGATGCAACGCTGTAAACAAGATAATAAACACAACTGATTGTTACAATTCGTTCCTAATGCCGCACTTGTCCCTATTATGTCTGCACGGCATATTTAAAAGACGGGGTGAAAAGTGCATATCTAACAGCATTCACGCGAGTCAAACCAGTGCAGCCATCTTGACCCAGTTTGCTTGACCTTCTCCCGTGAAACCATCACGCGTCAATTACGACAAAATTACGTCATAGAGCATCTCTCCTCATTAGCCAAGTAATAGATCGCAGCGTGGTGGCAATGAAGTTACCCACTTTCTTTTCCCTGCTTTCCTGTTCTACTTTTTAACCGAACACATCTTCTATTACCTGACATTAATAGACCTGTGAGTAATTTAAATACCGCATTGTAATACTGGAAGAAAAGGTTTCGTTCCTAATACGAGCTTAGGAAAAAGTTAACAGTGCATGCATACCTTGTGTTACTGCGAGCCCTTTGATGATTATTAATAGTCTAGACATGTTGGACTCTAGACAACCTTATGGGGTTCGGCTGTCTCGACATAGAGGTTGTCTAGTTCAAATTTTAATACGCCTTAGAATTTTACTAAGTTTACTACATCATCAATTCCTGTTGTTTAATTATAAAACTTCATCAACAAAATCACGAGGTCCTCATTCCGAATGTGACATCCAATGTTAAAATAGAAAAATATTTTTAAAGGAAATTAAAATATACCTATTAACCCTGACTGCATGTTGTAGCGATTTTGCTACAAAGTGAAATATCCACCAATGAATCTACACAAATGTTTAAAATCTGTGTTTTTAATTCATGAAATGAAGGGTTAAAATACATTTTGTATGGTAATTATTTAATTTCTATTTAGCTCAATACTTTTAAAAGGATATGAAGGGTTGCAGATTGAGGTCTTTTTCTTCTATTTTTTTTTTTTATTACTTTATGATTTCATGCTTTAAGCGGAATCTGAAAGGCATTGAAGTTCAACCATCTTGTGACGCGTCAATTGTGAGCCGGCCTCCGTCATGTCGGTACGTCTGTCACGGGGGGTAGGGCGCCACCTACAGCGACGGGTCCGGATGCCGTCAAAACGTTTACCGTTTGGTCGGCGGTATACTATTTGTTCATTCCTCGACCTTGCCCTTTGTCGACGCCAGCCGGTGAATGGCCTGCCCCGCGTTAACTCGACCGGCAAATGATTTAAAATAGGGAGAGGGGGGGGGGGGGGCATTGTTTTGTTTGATTGCTGCGGCCGCCATTGACGTTGTCGTCTGTCCTGGCTTGTGTAAAGCAGTAACTTAGTCTGTAGATGTTGAATAGAGCTTTGCAGGTTAAATACATGGTTTATACGCGAG